CTCTCCGAAAACACTCGATTGATCTCAGCTGGCAGATCAACATTCACCACATGATCGCTCTCATCTGCGTCATTGTTTGTACCTTCAGGTGGGTTTGCAAACATGTGTAGACTTTTTTGAGCGTGTTGCCAAGCGTGCACGTCTGAACTTGACCTAGTTACAGCTTTAGTAAAAGTTAATCCAGGGTGCATGGTTATTAGTCTCGGTGTACAAGCTCAGAACTTTAAACTAGCACAAGTTGACATAACTTTGTTTAGTTGCCGCAGTTTGTTCCGTGCAGAAAAATGATGCTTAGAAGCCCTTATGATTAACTAACTGTGATGAATTAAAGAGCCAATAACAGGAAACATCACTATACGGTGACATCACTATAACAGTGAGCATCACTACACAGATGAAGCATGCATCATTACTTTGCGGGTGTAAAACTATACAAAGACACAATTGATTTTGTAACTACCACTCTGACACATTCTGGCACATTAGGAATATTGATTCCTCAACAGTACTCTCTTCTTGGTCTGTGTCCGAGTTGTACATTTACGGCTGAATGCTGTTCCTCTCATTCATGTTGCTTCTCTCTGTCTGCCTGTCTGTTGCCATACACAAAGCGGAGGAGCTCTTGGCTCCGCCCCCTTGCTAAGTTGGGCGGGAAGTTGAAATTAATTTTCATGTGAAGCAATACACCCCTAAAACAACGACCTGTGTACACACCCCTAAAATGACACTTTTTAACACATTATAATAAAAGAATCTGAACTGTGTTTTGAACTGAACCTAAACTGGCACACTCAGAAGAACCATAATATAAACATTAAATCTTTAAAAAGGGGTAAAATAGGTGCCCTTTAAAGCTAATTAAATTATGGTAAGCTATTTAGTATGACTCAGTTTCACTCTTGCAGGGGAGCCTACACAGTTTTCAATAAGCTACTGTCTAAAACATGTTAAAAATATGCAATACCCATGGTACTCGATGATACATCGAGATCTTATAGAGGGGCTGCAATATAAATTATTTACAGCATTGTTAGCTTTAATCCTCAACCTCTTCAATTTTACAAATCCTCTAAGACCACAATTTTAGCTAAAACCTTCTATAATGTTCTACAAGAGAAAAGTCATCATGTATCTGAGGGTGAATAAATATAGCAAATATAATATTTTTAAAGGTGAACTATCCCTTCAAGGCTAAAAGATTCATGCTAAAAGCTAAAAACAATATTGATTTCATGAGGACTTTCACTGAAAGATGCTTTTATGGTTTTCATTAACTAAATGTTATCATGATGTTTTACATTAATCTAGTGTTTTCTATAGAAAAAACTGTGCCAGCAGGGTTTGAATGAATGAACGTCTGTCACAGCTTGTTACTAGTCATAACTCTTACTTGAGAATAAAAGAATAAAAAAAAGCCCTGTGAAGAGCACTTCAAAAAGCTCAAGGTCATTTATACGTTTTTGGGCAATGATGGTCTTTTCATTACTGTTTTAAGTGAATGTCGAAGATCTTGACAGTTTTTAGCCTGTAAGGAATCTTTACACCATCAGACCAAAGACCTTGAAGTATGGTACTCACCCTCTGAGTCTAGACTGCTCATATTTAATCAATTTGCATGACTTCTGCCTCAGAAAATGGCATATGCAAAAAATGTATTCTGGTGACAACCTACTTCTATAGAGGAATTTGTTAATGCTAAAACATTTTTTTCCATTTTCTTCTACAAAGTAAGAACGCTTACGAGGATACTTGGTAGAAAAAATACAGGGAAATGCCTTTTTTGAATATCATTGAATATCATACCCCCTTATGCAGTGTGTAGTTGTTAGTAAATGTAAAACAGGGGTGTCCAAACTCTGTTCTGGAGGTCCGGTGTCCTGGAAAGTTTAGTTCAAACCCCAATCAGTTACACCTGTGCCAGCTAATGAAGCTCTTGCTAGGCTTTTTATAAATAACTTGCCTTAATACAGCTGCAGGAATGGAGCTACAATTTGCAGGACTGAGTTTGGACAACCCTGATGTAAAATGTCTGCAAAGATTTTTAACGTTCGAAGTGTGTTAAAATCAAAGTTATTTCGTAAAACTAGGGATGTAACAATATTGTAAATACCGTCATACCAAAATGGTAATTTTTTTTTATATTACCGTAGACACATGACTCAATAAAACCATATTTCTAAGAAAAGTTTGCTTAGGCGAATGTAGCGAACAGGAGGTAGCGGGAACTACAATTCCCATCAGCCTAGGCGTGGTGATCATCCTTTGCGGTCTGTTGTCACTACAGATCCAGTAATGCGGAAATGGAGTGTGTTGCTAGTAGCGGGGAAGAAAAAGAGCTGGAAATGATCGTACCTAAAGCGGGTTTTAAATCAGATGTGTGGAAGCATTTCGGTTTCTTTCTAAAAAGATACGAAAAAGGAGAAAAGGTGACAGACAAAGAAAAAATCAATATGCAGGCACTGCCAGACTGTTGTGAAATACAAGTCGGGGAATACGACTAAAAACAGTCATGAGGACTGCACAACACAGCACACTTGTTAGATTGATGCAGAAATTGACTTGTACCGCAAAGAGACCTCTATCTGACTCATGGCTTTTCCTCTCAAGTGGTGGAAAGACAATGCACAATGTTATCCACTGCTGTCAACCTTGGCTAAATCATATCTCTCTGTCCCAGAAACCTCAGTCCCAAATGAGAGGGGTTTTTTTCTGTTGCAGGGGACATGCCCAGAGATCTCAGCTTTTACCAGATTAAAGTTATATGATATCTTTCCTTAAAAAAAACCCATCTCTATCTAAGTGAGTGAGTGATTAAATGTTGAATGTGATGAGTTTTTAACAATACTAAATTGAAACTATTTTTTTTATATGGTTTAATAATTTTTTGTTATTAAAATTGAAAAATTGAAGTTCCTGTTTGAAATTTACAGATAGATGGCTAATTTGTTTGTCATTGATATGTTCTGTGCTAAGGTAAATAAACACTTTTGGCACTTTTTTCGAGTCTTTTCATTAGTTTTGTTTTTACTGTAAAGTATTCAATAAATACCGTACCGTGCCATTCATACCGAGGTAATATCGTACCGTGAAATTTTGATACCGTTACATCCCTACTTAAAACAGAATAAAGCTGATTCAGAATAACCTATTCCCATTTTATTTCCGTAACTGATCTAGGTAGATCTGTCAAAATTTTACATCATGTCAGACAGTTGTCTTCATTCACTGTAAAAAATAAAATCTGGGTTCCACACAATTCCTTCGTGGTGTCCTGATGTAAATCAATTAAGATAAAAATGTTTTTTTTTTTTTTGATTGTTCCAAAAATAAATAAAAGTTGTTGTTTCTGCTAATTTTAAATAAGTGACAGGCAGTTACTTTGAGTGCTGGCTTCTCCCAAAAAAGGCCAAATTTGACCTGTCCTCAAACATTTTAGATAATTCATGTTGTCAATATCGTAATGTAATATATCGACAATATTGTCAAGACAAAAAATTTGCCATTTTCCAGAAATCCAAAATAAACTGTTATAATCACTGAGGCTGCAAAATTAATCTCTTACTGCCATCATATCAGCACTTCTTTGAGAACACATAACAAAAATTCAGCATTTTCAGTGGTGACTAATCTAAGCAGCTCTTCCTGGCCATTGCGCTCATAAGCTCATCAAAACAATGTTTGATTGCTTAAAATTTACTAAACTTACCACTAAGAAACGTTTAGATTGTGCTTGTGGTGGAGGTTTGGCTTGATCAATGAGCTCTTCCAATGCTTTTTTCATCAGACTCGTGTTTAAATTGATAATGTAAAGTCATTACTATACCACAATCAATAGGCAAATCTCTGAAGCTGAAATTCTATCATAATTAAAAGCTTTTGATTTAAAAAGGCACTATTAGAGGTCAACCAATCACAACAGTCTAGGCCATTAGATTAGGATAGGAGGGATTTACAGACAAGGGGTCTAATTTATAAAATTTGTGGAGAAACCTTGCTAAAATTATTGTATAAATTTGTATTTATTTATTATTGATTATGGCTATATAGTTTTTTAAAGTCAGTAAGTACATTTACATGGACAACAATAATCCGATTTTAAATCGATTAAGACAATACTCTGATTAAGAGCCTCCCATCTAAACAGCGGTTTTTAATTACCTTAATGTCATAATTATACTAAATGAAATCAAATTAAGACATGGGGAGCATGCCGTTTTTAGTTGCATTATTGAAGTCCAGTTCAGACATGTAAACACCTTAATCAAACTATTACCGCTGTGTAGGATTTTCACCGCATTTTGCGACAGAATAGTCTATACACACAATGCTGTTTGACACTATTCTCTGCATCTACCAAGTCAGTGAAGGACCACAGGTACCAGCATCACAAAATGCAGAGAGTTTTTCCCCATACGGCGTGTGGTTTTAAAATTCCAAAACAACACTCTTCCAGCAGTGCATACTCGCATCCAATATCTTTTTTGTCACTGCGGTCATACATTCCATATTCAGTTCCTGAATGAAAGTGCCAAACTGCAGTTAAAGTCGACAAATTAAAAAATTTACTTTGGAGGAAGTGTGGATAGCGTGGTGATGCAATAGCATTAATCAAATTATGTGCTATAACATGTAAAACAGGATCATGAAAGGAACATTCAAAAAGCAACTCGTAAACACCTTAATCATATTATTGTCTCATTCAGATTAAGGCAATTTATTCGATTACTGCTGTCCATAAAAAACATAGTCAATGTTTAAGTTAAATCTGCTTATTTAGTGTATAGTAAGGGCTGCGCACATTCTCCAATTAACTTATTATTGTGAAGTGGACATGCACACATTTGCTCACCCATTTTGTGCATACACCACATTTATAAAGAGATGCAGATGTTGAAACGAAGAGTTTAAAAGTAAATGTATATTGTGATAAAATGAAAGGGATATTTGTTACCATTCTTTAAGACCTCCCAAACAAAATGAAGAATTTAAAACGGCTTCACCTTTTCCGCTAGCCATCCCAGGTGTCGGATCTCTCGACTCCCAATGATGCCGTGTCGGCCCGCATGTTCTCGTAGTTCACTGATGACTTTGTTGGTGAGGTTTGTGATGACGGATTGCATGAGAGTGAACCAGGTCTGGGCAGAGGAGCTGTCTGTATGTCTCATCACTATTGTGTTTTTAGCATCAGAGGAGTGCAGCTCCACCTGTCTGAAACACAATGACAGAAAAGAAACATATTAACCTTCTGGTTGAATTAATAACAAGAGTAATTTCACTGACCAATCAAAGACCTTTTCAAGAAAAAAAAAAAAGACAATTCTCAATATGTAATTCCTTCATGATGATCGTGGGCTTTCACACACTGGGGAAGGCATGCAGCCAAAACGTTTGTGGTTATACGAGTACGGTGAATACTCAATGAGTATAGATCATGGCCTTTTGAACAATGTCGTTATCAATGTCGTACAGATCACAACGCACGGTTCGGAACACACGTTGTCTGCGAATATTTTTTTTTTTTTACTTGTATATCAATCCTAAATTTGTCCTATCCTAAATCCTAAACTCGTGTCATTCAAATCACATGTCTGTAAGCTGATCCTGTCATGTGATCTGCATCATGCAGCAAACTACAAGCCTCGAAGTGTTCGACCTAATGGCCGCGTTTTTAACTCCGCCCTCACCTTCGCTCGACTAATCTTGTTGGTTGTCGGCTGCAGCCGTGGTTCATATCGAACGCCCCTATTATGTGATTCGAACCATGAGATTTGTGATCTGAGTTACACCACTAGCTCCTTACATCTATTATTTATTTATTTACTCACTCTCTTATCAACAGGTGGCTACCATTTACCATCATTCTTCAGAATTGCATTTAAAAGAAGAAACTCAAAAGCAAAATGATGACTATTTGTGTTTGTTTGTTTGTTCGTCTGGCTGAACAATCCCTTTAACAAATAACGTATTGTAAATGTGTGAAGTGTTACAAAACATGCTTGTTATAGTAGAGAACGATGTGTTTGATACAGTAATGTTTCCCTCCATATTCAAAATAGAAAATAAATCCACAGATTATAAAATAATAATTCACTACTTCTACCGAAGAAAACATAGTAGTTAAATGAGTTAAAAACTGACTTCAATTGAAAGACAGCGGAGCAGACCGAGCCTAAAAGAGCTCTGAAGTCAACATGAATATCCAGCAGAATATCAGACACAGCCGCTCAAACAGAACCATACATCAGCTCAGCTCAGGCAGTTTACTGTGATAAATGCTCCACTCATACATCATCTAGAGTAAAAGTCTTAACCTTACACTCCACAATATCATTTTCAGGTGCAGCGTGTAGCTAAAAATAGATCTAGTTTCATGAAGACAGAGGGTTTGGAGGGGTCTAGGGGTTGGGACAGATGGAGCTGATGATGTGTTCGCAGCAGACTGGAGGAAAGAGCTTTTTGGATGAGGCCCAATTTGCTCTGCCCTTTAAGACTATAATTGGGAGAATTTCACAACTAATGGTGATGTCTGTGTCCAATTTAGGAAGTGAATTTCTCAATGCCTTTTGTGGTCAAAAGAGATCTCACTTGGGTAGTGCGCAAAACTTCTGAATGTTAACCTTAAAAATAAACCCTTTGGCATGTTTACACTGAGGTGTCAGAGATAAGGGCAAGACTAGTCCCAGGTTCAAGTAACTGCAAAGAGTAAATGTGCAGCTCTGGACCGAAGAAAACATTTAGATGAATGTGCTGCAGACTAACATTTGACAACAAGTTCTACAGATGGTGGCACAAACACCTGATCTGGAAAAACTGCACATTTATTTAATACGCATTTTAGTCTATTAAATGTACATATAAAAGCCACTAGACTGTAGCATTATCAGCTTTGTTGTATTCTTCATTCATATGAAATAAAGTGTCTGCTAGAATGAATCAATGTAAAGCTTGAGCTGGGAGATGAGGATATAAATACACCAGTCCAGGCTCATTGGCATTATGTTGGTTAGCCTACATTTTTGCAAAACATAAAATACATTGCTCCGGGTACGCTTCGTTGTTGACTCTTTGCATTTCTTAGGGCTATGAAAAGCCCAAGCTCACACACACATAGATCTGACAGCCTTCACACACACATAGACCTTGAGCCTTCACAGATCAACAGGGGAGAGCCTAGGTGCACCGGTCACTGAATCCAGCATACGGGCCACACGTTCTGTCTTTATATTCTGCTCTGTGTTTGTCATAAAGTCATCTGAGCTCAATGATCAGGTTTGTATCAAAATCCAAGGGCAAATCTGCGCCCTCAGAGCGGTTTGTCATAAACTTTTCATCGATTATTTTCCCCGCCACTGACAGCAAGAACGAACACAGAAGCGTTGATGCTACGTGTTCAAAAGAATCTAAAACGCCAAATATGATGAATTTGTGTCGCATTTTCTAAAATAATACATTCTGTATCTAGCTTTTCACTTGTACTGTGGCTCTGAACCATCAAAACACCTCTAAAAAAGGCTTTTTCGGACAAGACATATTTGTACACATGTACATTACTGTAACACGTTTTATTCAAGAACATATGAGCTGGTTTTAGTCCTTAGCTCTTTCATTTCCATTTTGTTTAAAATATATTTAACTTGCTTGTTGATTAAATCCCATTTTGTTATTTAACCTTTTAAATTTTATGCAACAGTCAATTTGAATGTTAATTTGCTATGAAGAAAAGGAAATATTGTATTTTTTGCATGCTGCTTTTTGTGAAATCGTGAATATAGGTTTATAATCACCTTGCAATTTTAAAATCATAGCTTTTTTGCTTTGAGTATAGGCTATTCATTTCAAAAGAGTGGAGTTTCAGCTTTTATGAAGTTTGCTGTATAAAAATAAAACATTTTGAATTATTTATAATTATTGGCCTATATATATCGGCTATCGGCCTTCAAGTCTGAAGAATTATCAGTTATCGGTATCAGCCAAAAAATCCATATCGGTGCACCCCTAAACTATTTACTAGGAGCATGTCTATAGCGCCAATTTGGATTAGTCAATTAACTTAAGTTGCATGTTTTTGGATGGTGAGATGAAAGTGGGGGAAACCCACGCAAGCACAGAGAGAACATGTGAACTCCGCACGGAAACGTCGACTGGCTTAGTAAGGACTAAAACCAGTGACATTCTTGCTGTGGGGCAACAGTGCTAACCACCGGGCTGTCGTGCCACCCATCTAGGAAAGGAGCAGGAGTAGGGGAGAAAGGGGGGATTATTTAAAACTAAGATGACTATGGTATGAAACTTGGGTTATTTTTGGAGACTTTGGAATCATCTGATTGGTGAATCATTAATTGGATAATGCGGGACCAGCCGTGAGCAATCATAAGCACATGATCCTCTCGAAAATAGTTTATAAATAAACTTCACTTATGGAGAAAATTAAAAAGCACTTCACTGTTGGTCTAATAGTAATAGTAATAGTTGGTGGAAATAGTCTACTGAAATGTGTATATTCCATACAAAATAAGATGATGATTGGTCAGTTCTTGTCACTTGTTAGGTGATTAAGAAGATGTTTTTAACTGGGGGGCACTTGGAAGGCACGAGTGCCTACTCCCAATTGGCACATGCCTCCATTGAAAAGATGGAGGCTTTCCGTTTTCCGCTATGAAAAAGATGCTATGTAAACGGCCGCCATCATTTGCGATCTCCAGCAGTTGATCTTCTCGCGTAGACATGCTGGATTTAACTCATTTGTTGACAGATGGGTCGTGGATCTATTCCTTCTTCACAAAAAAAGCTTTCCAATGACATTTTGCTACCCTATGAGTTAACTTTTGGCACTCAAGTAAGCGAACTGAGATAATACGGTAATTTTTCAAAATTTTTCAAAAGATTATTCAGACTCAGATAATAAATAAAGTGGAAATAATTAATGACTTCTTGTGCGGCCCAGTACCAATTGATCCATGGACCTGTACCGGTCCATAGCCCAGGGGTTGGGGACCACTGACCAAGCAAATCCCTGACCTTAGCCCAGGCTAATTGAAATAACACGCCTCACTCTACCTTTTTTTTTTTTTCAAAAATACATTGCTCTGTGTGCGTTTTGTTGCTTAGATGACAAGTCCACCCAGAATGAACAGACTGTTCAGTAACAAAGTTTTATTAACCTCATTTTTCAAACTTCAAATCATTGTCACTTAAAACAACCTTTAACTAAAAAAGAAGTAACATTGTTGGACTGCAAAATTTAAAGTTTCAAGTTTCAGAATCAAAAGCTGTCAAAGCAGATATCAGAGCCTTATAATGCAAATTGATAGTTTAAATAAACAGCTATGATTCACAAGCTACAGATGATGTTTGTTAAAATAGAGATTCGCACAACTGTAAATCAAATACAAAAGCAAATACAGCTAATACAATTAATTATTTTATTTTTATTTTAAATAATCTTAACACATGAATGGCATATTTTGAATTGATAAACACAGATAAATATGTAATCAACTAATAAAAAAATCTAATAATAAATACGTAAAAATAAATAAATAAATTGGCTAAAAGTTACTCTATGTAAGATTTTTTTCTTTTTAATAAAAGTATGTCAAGGCCCATTTGAGCCATATTTATTAAATTAATTGTTAGGGTTCTGTTTCAGTCACAACAAAAATGCATTTACTTTCAGTGAACCTAACCCATTTACCATCAATATCCCAATAAATGTGTCAAAGAGGACAAAAAGAAGATGACCTAAATTTAGTCAGTTTCCAAACACAATGTGTCAAACCAAACAAGAGCATCAATGAAAAAGAACAGATGGAGAGGTCACTGACACATCTGTCATAGAGGAACATCTCCATTCCCCAAATCACCAGCCACTCTCGCTCCAACCAAAACAACTCCATTTAAAGTTCCACTCTGGAGCATCAGAACACCAACGACAACAGTGGAAGAAAGACACATTCTACTTCTATTCCAGATGGATTTGCTTTAGGAATTTGACAGGAATCCTCTCCCAGTTTGGCACTTGAGGTAAGCCGTGTTGATAGAGCTCTGCATGAGCACCACAGTGATGGATGGACTAGAAGACATGGGACACAATCGTGTAAATTGAAAACAGAGCTAGAGGGTAAGAGCTGAGGACCTGGCAGCCGGTCTGTCGAGAGCTTTTGATTGGCAGCACATGGCAGGAGAGGATGAGTCTTACGTCTGACTGT